CACCGGTTTCATTGAATAATTTCAATTCTGTTTCGCGTCAAGCATTCTACTAACACGCAAATTTAAGGGAATGGTGTAACATCTGTAGAACTTGTATGCGTAAGAGCGTACGTTCCCGGAGTTGTGTGAGGTCCAAGAATTCCCTGTTTTCCGCTTGATCATTCTTCAGTGCTATTGCACTTACGTCACCATAAAGGTCAGTACGTCTCCTTCGTTGTGATATGCACAACGGAGATATACCTTGGGGCATGATGTAGAAGAAGTTCAACCCTTCTTCATAACATCCCCGTTTACTAAACTAGCTCCTTCGACTCAAAACTGGTTTGGAAGGTGACAGGATAGATTCACTACGGAATAGCTTCAATACGGGTTAGGCAGAACAAGAATTTGTAGGAGTTGGGATTTCGAAAAACTTCCATGATAGCAATCTTACACTCACACTGGGTGACGACATATCTGTTTCATATCAAGCAAATTAAGCAGGTTATTTAAAGGCACGCTCCATGACAATGTGAGAGGCTCAGCCTTTTCTGCCTAAAATGTTCCGCATCCGTATATGTCGTCACACTTTTTTAATGGCACTCCATCAGGGTCAAGCATACGTCGCAGCATCCGCCACCAGGGTCCTACTCGGTTCCCCTCGGGAGGGGGAAGGCTGTAATTGCAGGCTCAATATCAATACAGCAACGACGTAGATTGCAGAATGTGTAATGCCGCTTCGGAAACGAAAATGGGTGCATGGCGCATTCCACGGAGGTTTTGATCAGCGCCTCTGTGCTGCAGTTTCTATTCACCATATGAGGAGAATTTGTACGCTTCAGCTTCCAAGACACATATTGTAGCTGAAGTGCACTTCTGGAGCGAAATCCGTAACGGAACAATTTTTGGGATAATTAAGTACTGCAATTATGTTCTACTCATTAGCAAGTGAAGTCTTCTAGTTTCCAATGCCGTGTAGATCTTAGTTCTATAAATCATGTCTTCACGAAGAGGTTACATTTATGAAAGTGAAAAGAACTCGCGTTTGTAAAAAGTCGTCATTTTCTGGCCACGAGCCGTTAGGCATGCTTGGTGAAAGCTATAGTGGATTTCGTAGAGACCTTGCTCATAAAACATGTATCCTCTTTTCTGCTGTGCGAAAGACGGGTTCTAAATGATTTTATGCCCTTTTCAAAATACAGTGCGAATGTAATGGGTCGATAGCGCTCCAATCCCAATACGCGACGCAGCCGCGTCACGCTTAGTGTCTCGACTTCGTGTTTTCTTTTGGCGGGCGTTATTGTAGTATTTTTTCAGAGTTTTGCGTTCCGCATTACACTGCTTCCGGAAACTAATCTCTTCAATTTATATTACTTTTGTTCGATCGGTTTGGTAGATATTCACAGATCCACAGATACTCATTCGATGAAATTCGTATAACACACAACTTATACATCTACATCAATATGCAGAGCAGATACCTCCGCACACTTCCCAGTCACTAAGGGGGTAGATAGGGGTGAGGAAACCCCTTTCAAAGAGGAAAATCCTACCTACCCTCCCTCCCCCTCCCTCGGTTTTCCGCGTCTGCTTGACCCTGCTCCACATGCCCCATGTGACCTCTGATCGGCTCGGCGAGTAGGGAGAGTCCCCTTTCGCTCTTTGTTGCCTGCTTTCTCGTCGCAAGCTCGATGTTTCGTTGTTGTATATATGCTCTAGCTTTGTTCGGAGCCGATTGCACAAGGGAGATCAGCCTTTTCCACCGTATCTTGTGCGTTGGTCATAAAGGCAGTGTCCCTTTTTGTTTAAATACTCTCATGTGAACCTCACTGCCAAACCGAACCAAACTTTAACATACCTGTCGGTTGAAGTCTGGTTTGTTTACGGTCGGTACTGACAATAAATCTCTAGTAACAAAAGATCTGCCTTGAGCTTTACTCAAAGATTGATGCTAGGGAAAATATTCGTAATGAGAATCGCCGCGCGCTTTCGGCAAGGTAGCGGTTTTCTCGTTTCCGTGGTCTCGGCGCTGGCGCCATATCATATCGCAACTGGATTACTCTTATTTCAGACTGCATATCGCTCACCGTTCATATCCGTAGAGAATATTTGATATTTCCTCGGATTTTCTCTGTTATTCTGCAATTACTTCGCAATGTGTTGGGTCAATTATAGAGATATCATTTCTTCCAACTGAAAAATTCGAATATAAGGTGGAATTCTCGCGTAAATGAGATTCCGAATTGGAAAATGTTTCCACTTATATGTTCGGCTTGAATGCCCTCATGACCGTAGTAAAAGTGTAATTAAAAGCAGTTGGCACGATAAATTGTTATACAGGTGTAGTATTTGTACAACTGGCTTAACAGAATTCCGTGACCTCGGACAGGCGCTGCGTGAAGCCTTTTCCAAGGAGGGTACCTCTACATACTTGACAGTGCTAAGTTGGTTCCTATGTTTCATAATCTTGTTTCTAACCTGTGCAAGATGTGACTGAGTAGATCTCGTGGTCTCGTTACGTTGACGTGAAGATTCTACATAGTTACACGATTCTTGGATCGCAGCCCTTATTAATACTTGAAAGTGATGAAAAAATAAATAGTATGTTCACTCCATAGATCCTGGCTCTGGCCATGTACGAGAAGTGAAACAGCGATTACAGTAGTTGCATTTTTCCGTTCAAAAGCACACGGGAATGGAGGTGGAGGGTTGTTGTACCCAAAGCCCTCTCGCGGCCCTTTCGCGCTGCCCTACGATCGCCCACACGCCTAATCACAGCCAAGCGCGCTGCTTATCTGCGCGCTCTACCACTTCTGGTTGTTTTCTAACTCGCACTGCGTGAACTTTGAGGTTTTGGTATCGATGCCGGTGCTCCATTTGGAGGATAGCGGAGCATAGTCGTCTGACGGCATCCTGCTTTAACTACGCTCCATCTCCGTTCCCGTGCAATTCAAGCGAGTGAAGTGGCACGCTGTAGCTTCGGACACGGTCACCACACATTCGGCAAGGGTCACCCTCGCAGAAGAGCGAACAGTTTAGCTTCAGACTTGCTTCACTGATGTTCGAGCCGATGTGGGGACAGCGACAAGAGCAGAGCTCATATAGACAAAATTCATATATCTTCCCGTGAAACAAATACTGCCTAACTTTGAATAACCTATCATCCCTCCATGACAAGCAATTCGTCAGGAGAAAAAAAAGCACCAGCTTTTACGATTAGGGTGCCCTTCCATCAATAAAAAAATTAACATTCGATCTTGTTCACAAGTTTTCGTGACCCTCCTGCCTCGACTTATTACGTGACGGAGGTCGCTGTCATTTTCCTCACTCTTCACTTTCGCTCATTTCGAATCAGACCGGATCGCGATGACCGACCACGGCGGTCAGGTTCCGTTTCACTAGCCAGGTTTTGTACGGATAAACCTCCTTTGTACTCATTCTCTGTTTACATGCACTGCCAAATCGCGGTCTACATTCAAACGGCAACTCGTTATTGAATTCTCTTTCGTTTCCCTAGTAGCAACCATTTCACATGACTTAACGATAAAATCAAATGCTCTAATTCATCCTATGTATCGTGGGTGACAGGCCTTCATCATCTCGTCATCTCGCTTCCCTTATTTGTGCCTGTATGGTGACTACACTACTTATCACCACTTTGATGAAAAGGGAGACATGATCGTAGAAAACTGGTCAAAGAGGTAGATGAAGAGGCTGGCCCATGACGGCAATTATGGTGTCAGAATGTTGAAGAGAATCCTAGGAAAGCATCAATCAGCGCTGCGACGAGGCCCCTTCACAAATCAGTTTTACTTTCCCATAACTGCACTAGGTACTGCAAGTCCAGTAAGAGAAGAAAAGGCATGCTGACGGCGCTGTGGTGGAAGGTGCTAAAAACGAACTTCCCTTTGAGGGGGAGGGGGGAGGAGGAGGGGAAGACACTGAGGTAGATATGACACTTCCTTCGAGCGAAAACGTGTTTTCACATTTCGTGGGTGGTAGGCTCACGTTACCCAGAATCACCGCCCGCCTTCCACCTTTGCTGGGTCGTTTTGCTTATTTCTAGGTGCTAAGCCCACATGAAACAGTTTAACAGTTGCTACACGAGTCTTCATGTTCAGCAATTGCCCACTAACAGCATTAATACTCAATGAACAGTGTCTCTAGCCGATTTCGGAATACGCTGGCATCATATCAGTGTCCCAACAGCATGCGTAAAGCAGTGTACTAAAAGCATCTGGTGACCAACGGCTAAGAAACAGTTCACAGGACTCCGCAAGACTGCTCAGCATGTAGACGGAATATCCACCAAGTCTACCGCCCACACATCCTCGTCTTACCGTACTAACAGCTGTTAAAGCTTCGTTGTGCATCCACAGCGGCCAAGAAATGCGAAAATTCCCTTTGATCTCTTAATTTTTTAGGTAGTTGGTACGGTAGGTCATAAGACGAGTAGGATTAATACATTTTACAGGGCGGAATTCCGCACCACTGAGGGGCTGCGTAGCGTCTCTCCTAAGGGAGGTACCCTTACAAGCCTATCAAGCTGCAACATACCGACCTGAACGCCACCGTGCCCGCTCGCCGTCAAATGAACGACCGCTGCTGCTACTCGTATTGCCTCATTTACGACGTGAAATATGAAACGAAGGGATTGAAATGACGTGGCCGCGGTGCTGCATGGATATATCAGTACAAAGCAGACGTATCTACCGCAGCGGTGGCAATACGCCCAAGAAAAACTCGTCCGAAATCGCTTTTTGATCAAAAGAGCGACGGCTTTTCTCCTGAGATTTTTAACCGTTAACCCTCGTTTTTCACAATTTCCCCACAATATATTATCCTGTTAGCACTTTAGACCGAGTGCCAAATTATCGTGCCATATGCCCTTAATGCTTTCGAACCGAGTTGTCACCTCGTTAGGACATCATGAATGGCCTATTTCTGACCGAATAGTGTTCTTCAGAGCAAGGCTATGTGCAAAGTTTGGTTTTTCTAGGGAATCGGCCTCCTCCACGAAAATGCGGCTTTTCGTGGTGATCTGTGTATTGGACATAGCGGCCGCTCAGTACACATCACAGACCTATCCAGATCCACGTTTGGATCCGCTAACATGTCGACTACCATTCGCCAGCTATGTCTGCGACCCATCATCTGTGCTCTCTGATGATAGCCGTATACGCTTGATGCAAAAGATTAATCAGGTGAGCAGTTCGAAAATAGAGAAAATTGAACATTCCCATTTTGTTCTTCAACTTGAAATTATATGAAGCGGAAAAAAAGGCGCCATTCGACGACGGAGGGGGGGGGAGAGGGGGGCAAGGGGAAGGGGCATTTTCTATTTTCGCTACTCACTATTGTGAAGTAGAGATTTGTGAAATCTTGTGAAACCATGAACCGATACCAGTCAAACTATCTAGAATGTTCGTCTACCCTTGTAAAGAATACTTGTAAAGCCTCGTTAAGTAATGAACACGGGGCACGATTTTTGCCTACAACTTAGCATTCTTGTGATAATATTAGGAACACGAACTGCGGCGAACAGCAGTTATCAAAACAGACGGTCCCAGAAAAACCAGCAGAATCAATAATAAAGTATGCATACAGAAAAAGTGAGGAAATTGCTTGCAGTTTCGACCAATTACGTCTGGTATTCGCAACACATCGCCTGCATGCGCATTTCATCCAGACCGAAACCTTGATGTAAGTTCATCGTTTTCCTGAAGATCAAAGGTTAATTAGTTTGAGTGTATGTCGTTGGGTCCGTATTATAGCGCAGCAAATTAGCAGAGTAGTCCATAGCTAATTAGACTGTCGCAGCGAAATTCACGATAAATCAATTTAGGTTTTGCGAGGACATTTACCTCGCTAACCATAAGACTAGAGGCACAAGAGTTGTCATTTAGAAGTTTTTTTTCTATTTCGCATGAGAGGCTAAAGTCACAACATGGCATGTAGATGTCGGAATTAGTCACAACGATTTTCCGCTGCCGTATTTCAATTTTTCTTCCAGATCTTTCTGGTAATCCTGGACAAAATCGGCAGCGTTCCTGGAGCGCCGGTAGACATCGAGAAGTTTGCCAACAATCTCAAAAGGCGTTTCCAGAACTATCAGGTGAGGAATGATAGTCCTGGAAGTCCCCCTCTGATTTGAACTTCAATTTAATTTCTAGATAGGATTCAAGAACTAGGAACACTACGGATCGCCGTGATTCATCAAAAATTCTTGCGCAACGAGAATTTTTTCCTCTCAGACTAGAATATTGTTTGCGAAACGAGTTCGATGTTCTCTTCGTCCGTTTGAGAGAGGCTATCATTTTGTCTAATTCTGAATCAACGATTCGGAGGCCACTTTTCTGGGAAGCCGCTCCACGTTAGCAGCGGATCTGCGACAGGAATTTGTTGTTGGGATGGCTTCAAACCTCAAGGGATTTGTCTTTACAACCTCTTGATCGTTGCAATGCAATGGAATGACATGTTCCATAAGAGTTCCCTGAAACTTGTAAATGAGATAAACCTAGAGGGTTTAATAAACTAGCCTCGCTTAAACTACTGCGACCACATTTTCTAATTATGAGTAGATTCTTTACTTTTATGACGGGTTTGCGTATTTCCGGTGTATCGGCCACCGCGACTCATGGATTTTGTTGCCTCTGCCTTGAACCATTCACTCATATCCCTGTATGGAGCAGCATCAAAAACTTCTGGTATATTACAGCACAGAATTGTGGGCAAGAAATCCACCAATCTCAAGGTGCTTTCGGTCGTACGCATTAGCTCGGCAAGGATCAGCCCTCGTCTTTGCTGTTGCTAGTCCTTATTCGGGTTACCGTTGCAAATGACTATGAGTTTTCACGTTAACGTGGATAGATTTAGTTCATTTTCTTTCCATATAGAGAAGCATCACTGACGTAGCTTGTACAGAGGCGATTTTGTCCTAAGGGACTTGTCCATCTTGATGTCAGAGTGAGCAGACTCATCGCAGCTTATCAGGCGTTCATCACAAGGCATACAGACTGTGCAAGTCCCGCTGTCATTTTGTGACCCGCTATGAGGCCACTATGGCTAGTGAACCAATCTCTATTCACGTGGATGCGCAACGTATCGCGGAGACAGCGGTGGTCCAGTGGAACACCGCAATATGCAACTACTGCATACACAACCAAGCTGATGTCATCAATGGAGAAAAATCTTAGAGCATCTGGCCGTATCCAAACTACGTTCAAACTTTACCCTCTCACTCGGACGTGATCAGCTTTTGAAGGTGCTGATCACGTAAGCGGACTCTTTTTTTTTCTTTGGGCTTTCCTTTTCCTTATTACGCCGTAAATCCCTTTAAACTCGAATTTTGTTTAGAAGAAGTCCTAGTGACAGTAGATGATGCCGTTCACTAATATGTAGGGTTGATTCTCTGGAGATCTCCAAATACTCATAACCTTGTAGAACATTTGCAAAGCGCTTCCGCAGGATTTAGCTCCACGTAACTATGTGACTGCGTTTTCCTCTGCCGCATGAGAATTTGGAGACTGAGTGAGGGGTAGTCATGGCCATCTTGTGGCGGTCAACCAGCTGATGAGTCTGGCAAAGTGAAGGAAATATGATATACCAGTGTTGGTGGAAGAAACGGCCTTGAAAAAGTGGGTAGTCCGACGAATTCAGAGCTGTTCGTTTGTATTAGTCATGAACAGTGCTGACTTGCTCGAAAAGTTCAAGCCAGATATTAAAGGATAAAGGATAAAGTTTTTACCGTTGATCAGTCCCCTTTTGGGATGTGGCACGCATTCTACTTCCATTCAAAATCGTATTGGTTTACTGAATGAGATGTGGCTTATACCTGACTTGGGGGGGGGTCACCCGATGTACAAGTCGGTGTTATTATCCTACCAGACAAATCTGGTACCAATTTACCGTCGGGAGGGTACAAGGCTTGTTTGGCCTGTGCGGGAGGCGACCCGGGATTTGAACCCAGGACTGGTGGTAAGCGCACCACTTGTCGCCGTGGTAAGCGCACCACCTTATCGCTACATCACCTCCGCCTGGGCTAGATATTACCTAACTTCTTCTTCTCCCTAACGTTAGTCCCGCGCCGTCGCAGGGTCCGCTGATCTTGTTAGACGTCGCCACTTGTTCCGATCCACTGCATCTTCTGCTGTGGCTTTCACTTCAGTGAGGTCCTTCTTGATGACGTCCCTCCATCTTTTCTTTGGGGCTCTCGTGGTCGCTTGCCCTCTACCTCGAGTTCCAATGCCTTCCTTATTTGGTGGTCCTCGGGCCTCCTTAGTACATGACCGTACCATCGCAGTCGCTGCTCTCCCTTCAGCTGGATAGGAGCCGTCTGTGTGACTGCTCTGACGTCCTCGTTTCTGACTCTGTCGAGTCGTGTCCAGCCGCAGGCCCATCTCAGCATCCTCATTTCAGCTGAGTGGAGCTGCCTTTCATGGTTCTTGCAGAAGGCAGCCACTCACTGCCGTAGAGCATTGTAGGCCTTACCACAGCCCGGTACACCTTGCCCTTGAGCGTTCTCGAGCACCGCCGGTCGCACAGGATGCCAGTGGACTCCCTCCATTTCATCCAGGCTGCGTTGATTCGGGCCGTCACCGCCTGGTCCACGCTGCCATCAGCTGCTAGGTTGCTCCCCAGGTACTGGAAATCCTCGACCCTTTCGATGCTCTCGCCATGGCGATCTACGATGACTTCGGCGCACTCTTCGGAGCTTAGGAACTTGGTCTTCTTTACGTTCAGCCGGAGTCCATTCGCAGCGAGCACATCCTGCCACCGCTGTACTTTGTCCTGAAGTTCCTCCCTGCTGTCCGCTATCAGGGCGATGTCGTCAGCATAGAGGATGGTTCTCAGTGGTCCCTCCATGAGATCTTTTGCCATGACATCTAGAGTCAGGAGGAAGAGGAACGGGCTGAGGGCAGACCCTTGGTGTACCCCAACCGTAATGTTTACCTCCTTTGTCAAGCCGTGAGTGAGGGTGCGTACAGCTGCTTTAGCCTCATCGTACATGTCCTTCACTATGAGATGACGTGTTCCGGCCGACTTACGTTCTCTGAGCGCTCTCCAGAGTACAGGCCTTGGCAGGCGGTCGAATGCCTTCTCAAGGTCAGGAAGGCTAGGTAGCAGGGTCGCCGCTTCTCTCGGTACTTCTCCATCAGCTGTCTGGCGATGAAGATGGCATCGGTGTGGACTTTCGGGCATGAAGCCGAACTGCTCCTGCGAGATAGGGACAAGTTCCCTCAGCCTAGTGTTGACCAGGCGCTCGTACAGTTTCATGGTATGGGAAGTCAACTTGATCCCGCGGTAGTTGGAGCACTCCGTCGCGTCCCCTTTCTGTTTGAAGATGGAACGATTGTGCTGTTCCTCCACGCATTCGGCATCCTTCCTTCAGCTGTTACGTTGTTTAGGAGGTGCGTGAGCCAACTCACCCCATGGCTCTCCAAGGCGTCCATGCCTCTATCGGTACCCCGTCTGGACCCACTGCTTTCCCAGCTTTCATTCTCCCTAGCTCCCGGCAAACTTCATCCTTCGTCCAGGGAGTGATGGGACCTGCCGTCGCCCTCTATCTGTGGGCTATCCTTGCGAGGGAATCTTTCGTTCAGAAGTCCCTCGAAGTATTCTTCCCACCTCTTCCTGACTTCGGCTGGGTTCCTGAGAATGGCCCCGTTGCTGCTCTTCACAGTCTTTACGACCCTGATGTCCTGAGCTGCGCGATGCCGAGCTTTAGCCAGGCGCGAAGACGAATTTGTCCCTTCTCGGCCTTCCAGCTTGTCGTACAGGGCGTCCATTTCCGTATTCTTGGCCTTAGCAACGGCCGCCTTAGCGAGTCGCTTGCAGGTCTTGTAGGCAGCGTAGTCTTCTGGGCTCCGTGTCTCTTTGCCAGCATTTGTATGCTTCCTTCTTCTGCTTGACGATCCTCCGGACTACCTCGTTCCAGAACCAGGCTGCCTTGTCTCCTCTGATACCACCTCGCGTCTCTCCCAGGACCTCCCTTGCACACTGTTAGGATGACCTCTGCTGCGTAGGTCCAGGTGTCCTGGACTGGCCCATGTGGGTCTGCGAGCCAGCCTCCAGTATTCTTCGGCCGAGGCTATCCTTTTTTACCCTGCCATTTTCCACCACCGAATTCTTCGCTCTGCTCTCACCCTTGTCTTCTTGGGAGGTCTATGGCGATGTCTGCCCAGAAGAGGCCTGTGCTGAGGGCCCAGCTCTTCCCTAGGCAGTACTTGATATCCTTGATGGTTTTGAGAGACGATCTTCTGACCAATACATGGTCGATTTCCGTTTGTCTCCCTCCACTGCTGTAGGTTACCTTTTGGGTCCTCCTTTTTCACAGAGAAGGTGCTGCAGATTGCTAAGTCGTGGGCTGTTGCTAGGTCAAGGATTCGTCCTCCTCCTCAGCGTTCTTTGTCCCTATTCCTTGACCTCCGTGCACCCTTTCTAGACCCCTTCTGTCCCTCCCAACATGGCCATTCAGATCTCCAGCTATAGTGAGATAGTCCTCTTCCGGAACCAGATCTTATGGCCTCGTCCAGGGCCAGGGTAGAACTCATCCTTTTCGGCTGCTCAGCACACCGGAGTTGTGGTGCGTACACGCGTCAGTACTGTCCAGTACCCCTCCTTCGTGTCCATTCTCACTCCATGATCCGATCACTGATCCTGTTCACAGTGAGAGACGCAGTCCTTGAGGGATTCTGCACCGCTATGGCAAACGCCATTTCCGTTTGGTGTCTGCTCCATTGTAGAAGAGTTTGACGCCTTCTCCAATCTCGCGGGCCTTCGCACCTTCCATCGCGTTCCTGCAGGCATAGGCACTTGGATATTCCTGCGTCTCATGAGGTCGGCAACCTCACGAGACTTCCCGGTAAGCGCGACCCCACGTTCAGGGTCCCAATTCGAACTAGCTTCTTTGCCGAGGTCGTTCACCCTCGGTAGCCCCTCGCATACTGACCACAGAACTCGGGCGAGGGTTTCTGCGCGCCACTTCGGGGGGACGTCCTAGCTTTTACACTGATTCTATTGCGACTTGTCATGGTTGTTGGTTGTGACGGGTTCCCTCCATCAGCCGGCTGTCAACCTGGCCTGACGCTGGGGTATCGTCCCCATTTTTGCAATTTTTTGCAAGGCAGGTTTGTGCCTCGGCAGGGATCGAACTCGTGGCTCAGAGTGGTAGATGATCGAGCTCTACACT